CTATGTTAGTTTAAGTTATCATCGTCTATCGTCACCACATTATGCTTTTATATCTTCTTTGTCCACTGTTTCTATCCCTAAGTCTACAGGTGAGGCACAATCTCATCCAGGATGGCGACATGCTATGATTTATGAGATGTCTGCTTTACATGCGAGTGGCACTTGGGAGCTTGTTCCTCTTCCTGCAGGTAAGTCTACTGTTAGTTGTCGTTGAGTTTATGCAGTCAAAGTCGGCCCGGATGGCCAGGTTGATCAGTTTAAGGCTCANNTCCCCTCGAGCTTGGTTTGGTAAGTTCAACACAATTATTCAGGAGTTCGGCATGACTCGTAGTGAGGCTGATCACTATGTGTTTTATCGGCATTTTGCTCCTAATATGTGTATTTATCTAGTGGTTTATGTTTATGATATTGTTATTACTGGTAATGATCAGGATGGTATTACTAATCTGAAGCAACATCTCTTCCAGCACTTTCAGACTAAAGATCTGGGAAGATTAAAATATTTTCTAGGTACTGAGGTCGCTCAGTCTAGCTTAGGTATTATTATTTCACAGCGGAAGTATGCCTTAGACATTCTTGAGGAGACTGGAATGATGGGTTGCAGACCTATTGACTCTCCTATGGATCTGAATGCTAAGCTTCTGCCTGGACAGGGGGAGCCTCTTAGAGACCCTATGAGATATAGGAGGTTGGTTGGCAAATTGAATTACCTCACAATGACTAGACCTGACATTTCTTTTTCGGTGAGTGTTGTAAGTCAGTATATGAATTCTCCCTGTGATAGTCACTGGGATGCAGTTGTTCGCATTCTTTGGTATATAAAGTCAGCTCTAGGCAAAGGATTACTATTCGAGGATCGAGGCCACGAGCAGATTGTTGGGTACACAAATGCTGATTGGGCAGGATCACCTTTTGATAGATGTTCTGCATCTGGATATTGTGTTCTAGTAGGAGGTAATTTGGTCTCGTGTAAGAGCAGAAAACAGAATGTAGTTGCTTGATCTAGTGCCAAAGTCGAATACCGGGCCATGGTTATGGCGACGTGTGATTTAGTTTGGGTCAAGCAGTTGCTCAAGGAGTTAAAGTTCGGAGAAATCAGCAAGATGAAACTAGTGTGTGATAACCAAGTTGCTCTTCATATTGCGTCAAATCCGGTGTTCCATGAGAGGACTAAACACATTGAGATCGACTGTCACTTTGTCAGAGAAAAAAAATACTTTCAGGAGATATTATTACAAAGTTTGTAAAGTCGAATGATCAACTAGCAGATATTTTCACTAAGTCTCTTACTGGTTCTCGTATTAGTTACATGTGTAACAAGCTCGGTACATATGATATGTATGCACCGGCTTGAGGGGGAGTGTTAGTTTATAGATATGTATAGTGTAGTCTTATCCCACATTGGAAGAGGAGTAATATCTCTTTGTAGTGTATAGCTATAAATAGGGACCTCTTGTATTGTATATATCATCCAATATCAAATGCATGTTGGCATGACCAAACTTTTTATGCCAAAGCCAGGGATCATCAGTAATGGATCCAAGACATATATGACTTTCCAAATTATCCATGCAATCTAAAATGTAGACATTTCCATACCTCTTTCTTGGAAGAATGATTTTATTTGATTCATCTTCAATAGCACAACTAGTTTTCTTGAATTTCACGTCATATCCAGAATCACATAGTTGGCTGATGCTTAGCAGATTGTAATTTAGTCCATCTACAAGTTAAACTTCAGTAATGTCACAGTTGTTATTAAACAGACTAGTTCCGGTACCGACAATTTTACCTTTTGAATCATCACCAAACTTAACGTTTCCTCTATTGATTTTGGTAACTTCCTTGAAGAGATTTTTGCGCCCGTCATGTAACTGGAACACGCACTGTCGAGATACCATTTTCCTTTTTGACTTTGCCTGTGGTGTTCCTGCAAAGAAAGATTATTACCTTATTTTATGTACCCAAGCTTGCTTCATTCCTTGTTGGTTAGTTCTCTTAGGATCAGTGCTATTTTTTGGTTTCCAAATCCATCATGAGATATTTGATTTACGAAATATACAAAATGAATATTTGTGTCCAGCCCTATTACAGTAATGACACACATGGGTTGATACAATCTTTGACCTTCCACTAGTATTAGTACTTGTGGACTCTGTTTTGGCATGTCCTTTTCCAGTTGACTCGTGAGTCGCTTGGTTGGACTTGACAGAACTGTGAGTGGTGGACTTGAGCATGCCATTAAGTTGCATTTGCAATTCTTGAACCTCATCTTGAAGTACATCTCTTTCGATCTCACATACTTCAAGTTTGATTTCCCAGTCCTTCTTTTCCCTATTGAGTCTCTTTAATTCATTTAGTAATTTTTGACATGCTTTTAGGATAAGATCAAGAATATCCTGCAATTCGTTACATCTATCATAATTGTAAGGTTTTACCTCACTTGTTTCACCTCATTCCATGAAGCAATTTTCAGTGTCTTCTTTACAGTCGTCGTCTGATGTATCTTCATCAGTCCAGCATCCAGAGTATTTGTTCATATCATTTTCCAAATCATCATGAAACATAGATTTGTTATTTTTTCATGTTCTGAACTATCTTCATTGCACCAACTTTCAAAAGATTTATTTTTTTGAACCCTCTGGAGACTTTCCTCTTAAGATCTGGGCATTCAGCTTGAACATAGCCATACCTTCCACATTCAAAGCATTTTCCGTCAATTTTGTCTTGTTCATTGTATTGCCTGGTTTGTCTAAATGACATCCTTCCCTTCTTTGTGTTTATGTATCTTCTCATCAATACATTCATATTTCTTGACACCATGGCAATTTCTTATTCAAGAACTTCTCGATCATCATCAACACTATTTTCAGGACCTTCAGTTGTAGTTTTGAAAGCAATTGTTTTCTTCTTTTCTTCCGAACGAGTTTTCTTGAGATGGTTTTTTTCAAATTCTATAAGATTTCCTCTTAGTTCATCTTATGAAAGTTTGTCTAGATCAGGAGATTTGAGTGAAACTACCTTTGTCTTTCATGTAATAGGCAAACTTCTCAGGATTTTTCGAACTTGATCGCCACTTGAGTAGAGTTTACCAAAGGCTTTCAGATCGCCAATGATTTTGCTGAATCTTGCAAACATCTCCTCAATGAATTCTCCTTCTTTCATATGGAAGAGTTCATAATCATGAACCAACATATTTATCCGGGTATCTTTCACTTTGCTAGTTCCTTCATATGTAACTTCCAGTTTGTTCCACATTTTCTTGGCGATATCACAACTTGAAATTTTCTCGTACTCTTCTCCACTAACGGAATTATATATTAATTTTTGTGCCTTAGCATTAACTTGAACAACATCCATTCGCTCATTTGTGTATTTATCTATATCTCAGCGGGTGGTTGAGCTGCTGCTGGTAGTGAATAATTTCCCTTTTTGAAAATGCGCCATACTTTGACATCATAGGACTTTGCATAAATTTACATGCACACTTTCCAGTGAGAAAAGTGTTGTCCATTGAAATATGGTAGCCTGACTTACGAAGTTCCCTCTTGAAAGAGTGCTCCAATAGTTACTTGATTTGCCATATTCTTTTCTCATAGGTTGTTAATAAAAAATGTGAGACCTGCTCTGATACCAATTGGAAGTGCAAGAGGGGGGGAGGGGTGAATTGTAATTTTTCTTTTTCTTTTATGAGGTAGTCGACTGAACTTTTGATATGAGATGTAAATTAAATACAGGAAAATAAATTGCAGAAAGTAAATGATACCAGCTATTTTATACTGGTTCGGATTCAGAATGAATCCTACATTCAGTCCCTTTGGGTTGCAAGGGTGTTCTCTTTCAAGTATGAAGTTGCTTAGTACATATGAGGTTGTGTTGTTATACACCAATAGCTTCCTCACTTTGTTCTTTCCTCTCTTCTTGATACAATACCTCACCCGTGATCTTTCTCTCTTTCTTCTCTCCATAGTTACACAATAAATCTATAGCAGACTACAATGCTTGTTTGAAGTAGAACAAAGAGATCGATATTGATTCGTTCAAAGTATATCCTTCCTTTGAATCTTCTGTAGTATATATATGAGAGTTGGTCTCCATTCTTCACGGCGTGATAGTTCCATGACTGAAAGGCAACCCAAGGGAGTTGATTCTTAGAATCAATCAAGATGATTTTCTTCCAAGAATAGAACGAAACTTCTTTTCGTTGTTTCCTTTTCTTTGCAAGCCGTTGAGATTGAATATTCTTTGTAGATCTTCTATACTGATTGGTTGATCTTCTATACTGATTGATTGATCTTTTATACTGATTGATTGATCTTCTATGCCGATTGATCGATGTCTTCCATAAATAGCTGAATCGAATATCCGTTTTCAATGAAACTCGCAATCACAATATATTTACTACTTGATTCTTGCTTCTGGATCTTGACTCGCACGTTTGACTCCTTGATTCTTGCTTTTAGATCTTCTGCTAAAATCTTTCCAATTTTTGTGACTTCCTTCTTTGGGATTGATTTCATGCAATTAGAATTAAGTTATTGTCTATCATTAAAACATATATCTAACAAATTTTAATTGCATATCATAAAAATAATATATATATATATATATATATGTCCATGTGAACATGTCTCTTTGTTTTCTCCTTGACTTTTTTGTAATATTAAAGTGAAATGAAGTGATTTTTCGATTACAACCCCCCCGTCCCGTAATACTTAGGTAGAGTTATTAAGTGACTTTTTCATTACAAAAGTATATTTAGTGATGAGTGATCATCCATGAAATGAACACATGGTTTATGCACTTTCATTATAATTCTCAAGTTCCAACGTTACTATCCTGTTCTTTAAGATTACCAACTCAAGTTTTGTGTACGAACTTATCTAAGGCCTGGCCGATTGGGTAAATACTAAATAATAATAGACCATCAATGAATAAAAGTTATAAAGTAAATGAAAAAGGAAAAGAAATTACTCCGAGAAAAGAGAACAGAGAGAAGGTAACTAAATAAGATATCTATATATCAAGTCTCAAGATTGGATTGTAAAACCAACCAACCGCTGAAGTTTCGTTACAAGACTCGACTATGAGTACTCGAAAAGACTCAAATAAAAAGAAACAGACAACAGATACATAGTAATGGATCCATAAGCAGGATCATCTTCTTATTATGATTGCGCTACTTTCAGATTTGTTCGTAGAGAAACTGTCTTTCATCAACCTCACTGGACCCTGCATCGCCAAATTTAACCAATATTAATCAAGAACGGTATAACTAACGGGTTATTACTCTATTTTTCAAGCTATCATATCTAATTGGTACAAAAAGCTACATATTATTGTAAATCGTTTAATCTGATAGTGTAAAAATTAAGTACAGGAATTAAAGTACCTGGAGCAGTCAGTAGAGGGACTGATCTTGTAGGGAATGTTAACGCCACAAGCACTAGGAAGTCCAGCGGCTTTGCCCATATTAATACCCTTAATAGCATAAGCAGCTGATTTCAGGCAAGTGCATGCAGTCTTGCGGTCAGCTGGGGTCCGGGCAGCACCCAACACACCTTTAACGCCGCCACAACACCTCCCTAGAGGGCCGCGACTCTGCAGATAAGGGAGGCAAAGAGCCAGGCCAGACTGAACCTGGCCGCAGCTCAGTGCCTCTGCATGGGGTGCAACCACCACCATGCAAAGTAACACAAAGCACGCAATCTTGCCAACCATTTCCATTCTTAAAAAAAATGGGAGAAGATGAAAATAATAGAGAGTATAGTGAGGAAGTGGTGAACAATATACTAAAGATGTTTTTCCTTGAGTGTTGTGTACATAAGCTACTGAGAATCTTGTGGTATTTATAGAGAGAAAATTGGACATAAATTAATGGCCAGCGAATGGAAGATAGAGAGAATTAGTTGGCAGTTTAATTATATTCGACTGAGGTGCATAATTAGGGAGGTGCCGCTGCCTATAAAGTCAGGTTTAGTTCTTACGTGTTTGACTTTTACGCTACGATTTAGGCATTCTGAAAATCGACAAACATAAAAGACCATGGTCCCAATCCCAGCATTCCTCTATTTTAAGTAAATAAAAATTACTCTGCATTTACATTAGTAGGTTACTTTTATTTGTTTATAACAAATAATTTATTTTATTTTTAAAATTATAAATCTCATTTATTATGAATAGTTAATAAATATCTTTTGAATAACATGAGAGTATAACAATACTTAACACTTAGGTATATATAAGTTAAAATCTTTTGTTTTTTCTTTAATAAATTTTTGGTAACCTACTTTCCAAGTAACAAGAGAGTATTATCTTTCAAGGAGCAACTTTTTACTATAATAAAGCATAAAAGGTCTCAAAGATTCAAAAGATGTAATAACATTATTTTGCAATATTCGAACTAGGAGAAGCAGAAATCCAAGTAACTCTAGCGACAATGAGAACTTGGCTAAACTACGCGTCAATACGTTCCAAAATTTAGGGATAAATATAACATTTACATCTTCAAATGAACTCATCATCTTCTGGGTATCTTCACAAATAACCTCTATCTCTCGTGAGACTATATCATTCTTTTTCGTATCATATTCACCATATTGTTTTGCCTCTGACAAGATATTTTTTTTCTTTCTAAAGAATGTTTCACAATTAGATGTGGAAAATACATGAACCAATTTCAAATTAATGCAAACAATTCATCTTTGTTTGTTTGCCATGATAATAACCCCATTCTTTTTCTTCTGCAATGTTCTGAGGCACTGACTGCCCATATCGACCTTGTACGTTCCTGAACTTTTATGCATCGAATACATCCCAATTCCAGTCTCACTTGAATATATCAAAACATCTGCTTTTGACAATAGTTCACCGACCATATCTGCATGCATGAGTTTTGATCTACACTGTGTTTGGACATTTCTTGAGCGAGGTCTATCGGAAACGGCTTTTATACTAATTAGGGGTAAGGTTTGCGTACACATTACCCTCCTCACATCTCACTTGTAGGATTTTACTAGGTATGTTATTATTGTTGTTGTTGTAATGTGATTGGACATTCTGGAAATGAAATTAAACTTTTATTAGTACTACAAATTTTTCTTTTCGATGTCTAGTTCACATTAATTTTTAAGTCCCTTCTTGCTTTCTCTCCAACAAAGGAAGGAATAGGAATTTAATTGCTTTTATGGTACTGTAATTCCACTTTATTGTCTTCTAGTTTTGAACAATATAATGTCTTTTCCTAGTTTCTGGAGACGTTGTAATTGATCTACTTATGGATTAAGTACACTTGAGATGAAAACATTTTATCTCATAAAGTTATGTAAAACTCTTTCGTATCATAGTNATATATATATATATGTCTAAGTGCATGCAGTCGCGAAGTTAGGAATTTCGATACCGACAATAATTTTTTTTTCATTTTACATGTCTTACGGAAAAATTAAGGTACCAAACAGAAAAAACGAGTTTAAACAAATAAAACAGTACAAAACTATTAGATATCATACTCCTATTACGTAACAGTTGTAAATTTATATACTCTGCCTCAAAAGAATGTACAAATCATTATTAAATAGCGGATTAACTTTTTCCTTTTTTTTCCCAATTACATATCCAAAACTATTTTAGTGATATTTCGTATCCTTGCCAAGTAAAGAGTGAATACTAAATCCAATTTTGACTCTGTTATCATCAGAAGTTATTTCTACAGACTAAAGCTTTTTAGAACTCAATTTGTTTACGATATTATGTACTGCTGGTGAGCTAACTAATTAGGGACGACCGTATATCGAGAATTTCCCCTCTACAAAAATTAACCTGATCGGTATATATAATTAAACTTTTTATCAATTTCCATTGTTATTATCCTATTTCTTAAAACTACCAACTAAAGTTCATTGTAAGAACTTAATATTTAACTTGGCTGATTGAGCGAATAAATTTAGGCCATCAATGAATAAAAATTAAGTAAAAAGAAAAAAATTCATAAAAACAGAGAGAACAGGGAGGAGGAATTAAATACGCGCGGAAGAGACAATAACTAAATAAGATAGATGTTCTATATATAAAGATTGGATTATAATACAACCAACCACCACAGTTTCATTACAAGACTCGATTATTAATACTTGGAAAGACAGAGAAAAAAGAAAGAGATTAACAGACACAAAATAAAAATGGATCCAAAAGCATGATCAAATTACTCGATATCCATCTTATTATATTCGGCTCCTGATCATGATTGCACTACTGCCAAAGAGTGCGGTGAAAATCTGATCTTTCATCAACCTTACTGGACCCTGCATTGCCAAATTAAACCAGCAAATTAACTATTTACTCGACATGTGCAATTATCTTCTTACATATAAGCCAATTATATCCAGAAAAAATATATAGCGAGTATTACATATATATATAGAATTCCTTATTTACTAACATTGGTGTAACACCATTTTTTTTACTTTGACAAACTGACACCATGCGAGGCACATCCTTTTGTAACATGTGAACCGATCATAAATATTGTTTAAGTGTCCCACACTACTTGCTTAAATCAATGGAGTGTTGTCTTGCTATCTAGTTTTATATAATTCTGATAGTTTCATATTAACAAATTTTAGGGTTGAATTAGGCCTATAAGGTACATTTTATCATCAGAGACAGCCCCATACCATTCTTAGTTTATTAATTGTCAGTCCACTTGTTCTATTTTGCATTCAACACATGTACTTTTAGGGGCGGAGTTAGAAGATGATATACGGGATCAGTCGAACCTAATAACTTTATTTTAAGATCCTGTATTTGTATTAAAAAGTTCACAAAATATATACAAGAGTTAAAATTTGGAATCCAATTACTAATGCCGAATATTGCTATCCTAGAATTTAAAAATACCCATAAAATCTGTGTCAGGTAGTCCTAGACGAATGAGGGTGTTAAGTGTCCCCACTGATTGATGGAAAGAATTATAGTTTCCTTATATAGTCAAGTGAGTACTGCTTACAACAGTAAGATTAATGAACATGTCGGTAGTGCAAGGATAGCAAGAACTTAAAAGTAAAGAAGGTAAATAACGTACTTGGAACAGTCAGTGGAGGGGCTTATCTTGTAAGGGATGTTAACACCACAAGCACTAGGGAGTCCAGCGGCTTTGCCCATATCAATGCCCTTAATAGCATTAGCAGCCGATTTTAGGCAAGTGCATGCAGTCTTACGGTCAGCTGGGGACCGGGCAGCACCCAACAGACCTTTAACTCCGCCGCAGCAGCTCCCCAGCGGGCCACGGCCCTGCAGATAAGGGAGTCAAGGTGCCAAGCCAGATTGAACCTGGCCGCAGCTCAGTGCCTCTGCATGGGGTGCAACCACCACCAAGTGCCACAAAGCAAGCAATCTTGCCAACCATATCCATTCTTTGAAAAAAAAGTTATGGGAACAACAGAAACTAGAGAGTAGTTGGATGAAGTAGGGGAAGTACTACAAATGTTTTTGCCTTGAGTGTCGTGTATAAAAAGCTAGTGAGACATTAGGTTTTTATAGAGAGAAAAGTAGACATAAATTAATGGTCGGCCAAATGGAGGAGTAAGAGAATTAGTTGGCAGTTGGGTTAAATTCAATGTTGATTTTTTGGCTATTTTTTTATGGTCCATAAACAAAAGTAGTATATACTTTGAAGGAGTGCCTAACCATGTGCAACAAGAGATAGTAAAACAACTTAGTTTCTCTGATCGCACCGTGCATTTTAAGTACCTTGGAGTGCCATTAAGTTCCAAAAGGCTGGTTGTAGCACAGTGCCAACCATTGATTGATAAAATGCTTGGAAGAATAACCAATTGGACTGTAAAGTTTCTATCATATGCAGGGTGGTTGCAACTGATTAAAAGTGTACTAATAGCAATTCAGTCTTACTGTTTCAGATTTTCCTGCTGCCTAAGAAGGTCATCAACAAAGTTGAAGCAGTATGCAGAACCTTCCTCTCGACAGGAAATACAGAAGCTAAGAAAAAGGCCTTGGTGGCATGGAATCAATTGTGTTTACCTAAGACAACTGGTGGACTAAATATCACTAATGTGCAAGTATGGAATAGAGCTGCGATCCTGAAACATTACTGGAACTTGTCTCAAAACAAGGACAAGTTATGGATTAAGTGGGTGCACAATTATTATGTGAAAAGCATGGATATAAGCAATGAGGATGCCAAGAATGTCTCGTGGACTATTCGAAAGATTATTAATGTGAAGAAATATCTTGAGAAGGCAACCTAGAAGATTGAAGATGTTGTGGTAGATGGAGTACTCTATAAGGAGAATGTATAGCATGCTTAGGGGGAACTTCCCTAAAGTGAGCTGGAAGAAGTTGATATGTAACATCCAAGCAAGCCCAAAATGGATATTTATATTGTTCCTAGCGATACATGAGAGGCTATACACCAAAGATAAGCTAATAAAATGGGGTATGAGGAATGATATTATTTGTGCAATGTGTGAAGTTGAATAGGAGAGTCACCAACTGTCACAACCCAAAATCCTAACCTGTCGTGATGACGCCTAACGTGGTATTAGACAAACCGATTTCTCACAAATATTTCCAACACTTTTAACAAGAATGAATTTAAAGCAGTTTTAATAGTAAAAGTTCTCATAACCGGGATACAAAACCCAAAACATAATGCGGGATTTCCAACTATCGGGGTGTCACAAAGTACATGGGCATCTATACTTCACAAGTCTAGAAAATACGATCAATAATAGTCTGAGACCAAATACAATAATCAAGAAGATAAGAAAAGAGAGACAAGGTCTGCGAAACACCGGCAATTACCTCAAAATCTCCGAAT